AGGTGTTGCCTCCATGTTTTCTCCAACTAGTTGCAAAAGTTCACATCTAAAATCTTGTCTTAAGCCATTTTGAGATGGATATTTGTAGATATCCCAATATTCCCAGCACCGTTTATTAAAAAACTGTCTTTTCCCAGTGCACATTCATAGTGCCTTTGTCAAAGATTGATTTGTTGGAAATGTGTGGGTTTAATTCTACGGTCTATATTCTCTTTCATTAGCCTATAAATCTGGTTTTTATTGCTAATGCTGTGATATTTAGTTACTGTATCTTTGTAATGTATCTTAAAGTAAGGTCTTAATATAAAGCTTTCTCGATTTTCGTTGTTGTTTGTTTTTGTTTTTGTCTTTTTGCTGAAGATCACTTAGGCTGTTTGGGATCTTTCGTGGTTCCATACAAATTTTAGTAATTTTTCAAGTTCTGTGGAAGATATTAAGATTTTAATAGGCAGTTAATTAAGTCTACAGATCACTTTAGAGTTCCCATTTTTTTTAAAGATTCGTTTTTATTGGAAAGTCAGATACACAGAGAGAAAGATTTTCCATCTGATGATTCACTCCCTAAGCGACCACAACAGCCAGAACTGCACAAATCCAAAGCCAGGAGCCAAGAGCCTCTTTAGGTCTCCCAGGCAGGTGCAGGGTCCCAAGGCTTTGGGCCATCCTCTACTGCTTTCCCAGGCCATGAGCATGGAACTGGATGGGAAACAGGGCTGCCAGGATTAGAACCAGTGGCCATATGGGATCCTGGTGTGTGCAAGGTGAGGACTTTAGCAGCTAGGCTACTGTGCTGGGACCGTGGGTGCCCATTTTTAAAATGTTGGTGCTTCCAGCTCATGAACACAAGATATCTTTTGGTTTCTTGGTGTACTGTCCAGCTTCTGTCTTTTTTTTTTCTATCGGAAAGGCGGATATACAGAGAGGAGAGACAGAGAGGAAGATCTTCCATCTGATGATTCACTCCCCAAGTGAGCGCAACGGCCGATGCTATGCCGATCCGAAGCCAGGAACCTCTTCTGGGTCTCCCACGCGGGTGCAGGGTCCCAAAGCCTTGGGCCGTCCTTGACTGCTTTCCCAGGCCACAGGCAGGGAGCTGGATGGGAAGCAGGGCTGCCGGGATTAGAACCGGCGCCCCGGTGCGTGCAAGGCAAGGACCTCAACTACTGTGCCACCACACTGGGCCCCCAGCTTCTGTCATTTAAGACTTGTACTTTTCATTGCATAGACCTTTTATTTATTTTTGTGGTTGTTGTTGTTAAATTTAATCTTAGAAGTTTTTAAAACTCTTTCCCAATGTTTCAGTAGGTTTGCTTTCTTGATTTCACTCTCAGATGACTTTCTGCTGGTGTGTAGGAAGTGCTCGTTTGCGTGCATTGTCTTTGTACCCTTTGGTCTGTTTGCTTATTGTTTGTAACAGCTTCTTCAGGAACTCCTCAGGGATTTTGTAGGTACAAGATGATGCTGGCTGAAAACTGACAGTTTGACTTCTTCCTTTGCAAGGTCAATGGCGCTTCTTTCCCTTGCCCAATTGCTCTTTTTTTTAAAGATTTATTTTTATTATTTTTTCATTGGAAAGACGGATATACAGAGAGGAGAGACAGAGAGGAAGATCTTCCGGCCGATAATTCACTCCCCAAGGGAGCACAACGGGCCTATACTATGCCGATCCGAAGCCAGGAGCTTCTTCCGGGTCTCCCACGCGGGTGCAGGGTCCCAACGCTTTGGGCCGTCCTCGACTGCTTTCCCAGGCCGCAGGCAGGGAGCTGGAAGGGAAGCAGGGCTGCTGGGATAGAACCGGCGCCCATGTGGGATCCCGGGCGTGCAAGGCGAGGACCTTTAACCACTTGCGCCACCGCGCCGGGCCCGCCCCATTGCTCTTGTTAGGCCGTCTAGTGGACTGCTTCATTAAAACTGAAAGGAGGCATCCAGATTTTGCTCAAAGGAAAAAAGCTGAGAAAGTCTTTTCCCTAATCAGGATGGCAGTTACTAACCTCATATGCATGGCCCTAATTAGGTTGTCATAGGTTCCTTCCATACCTGATTAATCAAAGTGTTTTTTTAATCATGCGAGATGTGTTTTATCAAACCCATCTGCTGTTTCTGTCAAGTTCATCATGTCATGTTTGTCCATTCTGTTCATGTGATATGGCCTATTCATTGGCTTACATATGTTGAATTATTTTTACATAGTGGAATTTTTTTGGTGTGTAAGTGTATTCATTGGCTAGCTTTTTGTGGAATATGTTTGCTATACATTCATCAAGGGGATTGACTGAAGCTTTCTTTTCTTGTGTCTTTGTCCCTTTCTAACGTGCAGATGCTGCTGGCCTCATAGAATAAATTTGAAGGAATTCTCTCCCTTCTGTTTTTTTTTTAATGTAAGAAGAATTCATATTAACTCTTAATTCTTTACATGTTTAATACTATTCATCAGTGAAGCAATCTGTTTCTAGGTTTTCTTGTGTGTGGGAAAGATTTTTTTTTTTTTTTTGAAGATTTATTTATTTCTATTAGAAAGATTTCCAGAGAGGAGATATAGAGAGAAAGATCTTCCATCTGCTGGTTCACTCCCCAAGAGGCCACAATGGCCGGAGCTGAGCCAATCCGAAGCCAGGAGCCAGGAGCTTCTTCCAGGTCTCCCACACAGGTGCAAGATCCAAGCAGGGAGCTGGATGAGAAGTGGGGCTGCTGGGATTAGAACCAGCGCCCATCTGGGATCCTGTCCCATTCAAGGTGAGGACTTTAACAGCTAGCTAGGCTAGGCTATCTCACTTGGTCCTAACTTCATGTGTTTATTTGAAGTATTTAACCCCTTGAACCCCTTAATGTCACATCCTGGCTTACCTGATTTGTATTGTAGTTCTTTTTTTTTTTTTTAATTTCTCCCTCAGTTACAACCATCCTTTGTAGTTAAATTATTTCTTGTAGTAGTGTATTTTGATTCCTTGCTTATCTGCTTAGGCAAATGTAACAGAGTTGCTTTGTCATTGTGGTACGGCTTACAAAAAATATTTTCGTTGAAATGAGTGATTTTTAAAATGATGGCAACTTGGCACTGATTGTAAATATATGGAAACAAACCCAAAACCCCAAAGAGATAAGAAATAGTAATAAGCAACTCTCCACTTACAGTTCACGCTTTTCCACATGTTGGATTAATTTTTATTCATTGAAAGGCAGGTAGAGAGAGAGCACTCCCATCTGTCAGGTTATTACCAGGTACCCTAGTGACTGAGGCTGAGTGAGAGCAGAGCCGGGAGCAGGGAGCTGTGCTGGGCGCAGAGCAGCGTGCCCACAAAGCAGCACCCGTGTGGGTGAGGCTGAGCATGAGCAGAGCCGGGAGCTGGGTGCCATGCTGGGCGCAAAGCAGCGGGCCCACAAAGCAGCACCCATGTGGGTGAAGCCGAGCACCAGCAGAGCCGGGAGCTGGGTGCCATGCTGGGCGCAGAGCAGCGTGCCCACAGAGCAGCACCCGCGTGGGAGACCAGTGCTGCAGGTCCCCACCAGCCCTTTGACATTGTCAAGTTCATCTTCAACCCCTGCCGCTCTGGTGTTTTCTCTGGTTATGTTTCTGAGTTCCTGGAAGCTTTCTTTGTTGCTTTTAACTCATTTTTTCCTCCCCCAGGTACATATTTTCAATGACCCTGGGTTTGAACTCACTGCTTCTTTAGTCTGTGTGACATGTTCTGCTGTCCAGAGCTTCGGTTGTGTCTAATTTCACCCATTGTTCCTTTCTGTTGAAAGCTTGCTTTCATCACTTTTTTCTTTTGTGGTTGGAGTATTTAATTGCTTCTCTTGTCTTCAGTTTTCTTATAAAATGTTGGCATGCGACAGTTTAAGATGGCCTTACTTCTTTGGTGGTTTCTTGTACAAATTAAACTTCCGAAGCGTTTGAAAATTCTGAAACTGAATTCTGTATGGAAAGGGTACAAGAAAAAGAAAATGATACATTTTTCAGTGAAAATAAATCAGGGAAACACGAGGATTTATTTTAGGAAAAGTTAATTTTGTCTAACTCAGAGGTGACTAAAAGGTTTCAACATAAGGATGTATGATTCAAACGAAAGTGAGGCAGGACACAGTATGTGGGAGAGAGGTTTGAAGAAAGTTCTAGATTTGAGGGTGTAATTGGTAAAAAGTTGAGAAGGGAGAGCAGTTCTATTTGCAAGAGCGCAGCTTGTGTTGTCAAGAAACAAGGGGAAAAGTGAATTTTGTAGTAAGGCATCAGGATTGGTTCTCTTTTTTTTAAGACTTATTTATTTTTATTACAAAGGCAGATATACAGAGAGGAGGAGAGACAGAGAGGAAGATCTTCCGTCCGATGATTCACTCCCCAAGTGAGCGCAAGGGCTGGTACTATACCAATCCCAAGCCGGTAACCTGGAACCTCTTCCGGGTCTCCCACGCGGGTGCAGGGTCCCAACGCTTTGGGCCGTCCTTGACTGCTTTCCCAGGCCACAAGCAGGGAGCTGGATGGGAAGTGGAGCTGCCGGGATTAGAACCAGCACCCATATGGGATCCTGGTACATTCAAGGCAAGGACTTTAATGGCTAGGCTATTGTGCTGGGCCCTTTTCTCTCTCTCTCTCTCTCTCTCTCTCACTTTATCTCAAATTTTAAGTCACATGTCTCTGACTTAGAATTGATTTGGAAATTTGTTTAGCTTCAGAGGATGCAGCTCTCATGTTGGAGGAAGCGAGCAGGCGCTCCATCTTCCGGTGTACTCGCCAGATGCCTGCAGAGGGCTGGGCTTGGGTGAAATCGGAGATGGGAGCCAGGAATTCAGCCCAGATTCCCACGTGGGCGGCAGGAGCCCGGGTGCTCGAGTGGTCGCTGTGCTGGCTGAGATCTGCGTTGGCAGAGTCGGGCCCTTGAGTAGGCAGTGAGCCCACGTACCCCAGTGTGGCATCCCTTCTGATCAGATTTCTTTTAGTCTTGGCTATTCTGTTTTTGTCGTCCATGAAAAACCTTAAAAGTTAACCTTAAAAGTTTTTCTTTTTTTTTTAAAAGCAATTCATGGAAAAGCTCTGACAAATACTCTTCCAGGTGAGTGTGTGGTAATTTTCATAGAAGTAGACTAGGAATGAATGTTCAGGGCTTGAACCAAAAAGGCATATGAATTCATAATGTTATTAACCAAAGGATACTTACATGATGTGAAACGAATTGATGAAAAATTTGGAAGGTTTGTAGCTTTTTTTAAAAGATGTATTTGGCTTATTTCAAAGATGCAGACAGGTTCTCCCAGCCTCTGATTGACTCCCCAAATGACCGTTCTAGCCAGGGCTTGGGCAGGCTGCAGGCAGGACCCAGGAACCTGGAAATGCATCCAGGTCTCCCCAGAGGCCCAGTTACTTTCGCTGCTTTCCCAGCACATTAGCAGGGCAACTGGACCCAAAATGGAGCAGCTGGAACGCTGCTGGTGGCTGTATGCAACGGTGGCTCAACCCCGTGCACCACGGTGATGGTCCGTCCCTGTTACAGGCTCTTGGGAATTCTTTTTATCTTCCAAATTTAAGGAAACTTTTTCTTAGCTTTCTTAAGTCTCTAAAGCTATCATAGTGTGCAGCAATTTGATGCAGGTTACTTGGGGGAACAAACATGGAAAGATTGACTATTTGTTTTTTCTCTTGGCATGTTCTCTCCAGAATATATACTCTTTGCATTATCTTTTAAATTTTTTTTTTTTGCAACTTCAATTACAATTTGCCTTCTTAATAGCAGAATATGATTTAACATATTGTATATATTGTCAAGGTGTTGCCCGGGCTGTCTTTAATTATTTTGAGTTAGTTAAAAAGCGGAGTTACAGCTGGCCTCAGCGTCCACAGCTGGCCCAGGCTGAAGACAGGGGTTCCATCCTGATGTCCCGTGTGGGTGGCAGGCACCCACGTTCTCAGGCCACCTTCTGCTTTTTCCCAAGCCATTGGGAGGACGATGGGTCTGAAGTGGAGCAGCCAGGACACTAACTGGCATGACTGGCCCATTCCATTATCTATATCTTCTTTATGCACATCGCAGGCACAGTCTGATGTCAGCCTTGATTTGACCTCTTCACCTGGAGAGGTTTAATTTTTTTTTTTAGTGGATCGGCACCAGCAGAGGAGAGAAGAGAAAAAGAGATCTTCATTCTGCCGCTACACTCCCCAGATGGCTGCAGCGTCCAGGCTGGACCATGCCAGACCCAAGGCAGGAACCAGAAATTCCGTCTGGGTCTCCCACATGGGCAGCAGGGACACGAGCGGGTGGGTCCTGGTCTGCCACTTTCGCAGTGCATCAGCAGGGTTGGAAGCAGGACTTCTGGGAATGCTGGTGCTCTAACGTGAGGGGCAGTCGTTGCAGGCAGCTTTAGCACACTGCTGCACCAGTGCAGGCCCAAGAGGTGTTTTTAGTTTGTTTGTCTTTTTTTTTTTTTTTTTTTTTGCCTGAAATTAGTTGTTATTCTTGCTTTAGTGTGAATAAAAAAGATCAGGCAAATTTGTGTAGGTTGTGTTACTATTTCCTTTCAGGTTTTGAAAGCTAGTCCTTGCATTTGACATTTCCGTCCAGCAGGTGGAGCTATTCGTCTTCACTCAAGCCCCTTGTTCAGAATGTTGTGGGAAGATTTACTCACGTCCGATGGAAACAAAGTTCCACATGTAAACAGTTAGCTGCAACCTGCTGCTCTGATTATTGTGAAGGTTCCTAGCCATTCAGATCTAAATTCTGGGAACAAAAGGAAATCATCTTGGGAATAATGCCCCAAACATACTCGTTCCCCACAAGACCCTACTGAGGAGGCGAGTGTTGTAAAGCTGCAGCAGCAGCAGCAGCAGCGCTTGGTATGAGCACTGGTTGTCATCCTGGATGCTGGGCTTCTGAGTCACCTCCCTGCTAACGTTCCAGGATGCGGGAAAGCTGGGTGGAGACCCAGGGTCCTGTCTTCATCCTCACCAGCCTCTCTTATGGTGGGCATTTGGGGACTGATGGATCAGATGCAAAATCTGTCTCTGCTTGTCCCTCTGCCAAGCTCAGCTTCCAAGTTTTTGCTGAAAGATCATTTAAAAATAATTGTCAAGGATATGCAAAATTGAGCACCAAAGAAACAGGTTCTTCCCCGAGAGCAGAGAGGAGGGAATCTTTTTATGCCAGAGGCCATTTGGATACTTCCAACATCATTCAAAAGACCGTGTGAAATGGTTCACTTTGGAACTACAACTTTTAAGAGACAATTAGGGCAAAATGATGCACGAAGAACTAATCAATACTAAATGTCTTTGCAAGGAGAGACTCCAGGGATGCATACGGACAGAGAAAATAACACGCAGGGTCAAGACAGTGTCTGTCCCAAAGCCAGATGCAGAGGCCACGTGAGAAGCCAAGCCGGGCCCAGCGTAACGGCTCAGTGGCTAAATACTCACTTTCCAAGTGCTATCATCCGTTCGGACACCGGTTTGTGTTCCAGCTGCTGCACTTCCCATCCATCTCCCTGCTCCTTGTGGCCTAGGAAAACAGTAGAGGACAGTCTAAAGCCTTGGGACCCTGCACCCACGTGGAAGACCCAGAAGAGCTCCTGGCTTCTGGCTTCAGATCAGCTTAGCTTTGGCACTGTAGCCTTTTGGAGAAAGGAACCAGCAGATGGAAGATCTGTCTCTCCTCTCTGGAAATCTGCCTTTTCAATCAAAATAAATAAATCCTTAAAAAAGAAAGGAAGGAAGGAAGGAGGGAAGGAAGGAAGAAAGCCAGCCAGCCAGCCAAACTTGCTAGCACTTTGACTTTGGACATCTAACCAGCAGAACTATGAGATGCAAATTTCTGTTATTTTTTAAAGAGATCCATCTCTCTATTTAGTTACTTATTTAGAAAGTCAAAGTTATAAAAGAGATAGATTTTAAAATAAGATCTATCTTTCATGTGCTGTTTCACTTTACCATTTATGAAAGTCATTTGACTCCTAATAATTTGAATGTGGGTGCGCTAGCTTAGTTTGAATTTCCTCTGTACTATTCCGAACAGTATTATTCCAAATTCAAATGCAGATGGGTCATGATTTTCCATCTGTTTGGTGCATTTTATATTTGGATCTATGTCCACGTGTGTGAGTAATGTCTGTATTCTGTAAACTAGGCAAAAGGCAATGGTTAAGTCGGCTGGGAGGTCGTCAGTGGATTGTGGGTACAGGTGACATGACGTTATCTGTATGTCTGATCCTAAATAAAGAATGGGATAATCAGCTAGCTTTATACAACCCTGGACATGATCCCATACAAACGTATGGCTTCCTATTCCCATTCCTGATGCCTGTGGGCAGACTGACCTAAAGTCACAATTCCTGTGGGATTTTCAGATTCAGTCACAGTTTGGGCCTCCTTGAGCTTTGCCACCACGCTATCCACTCTCCCTCGTTCATACGAATTTAATAAGGGAGCCCCCGTTACTGCTAGACGCTGGAAATGATCAACTGCAATCACTAAGTACACGATGCAGCCAAGACGCACAGACAGGAAGAACTGAGTTGACAGTTGGCCCACACCGAATGAGCATGGTCTTTGCTTTCTCTCTTCTCAGACCTCCCCGTGGCATCCACGTGTCCGGCTCCGCAATGAGCGGGTCCTGTCGCAGGTCGGCAGCAGCCGTTCTGGAGCAGGGATATGAAGACCCACAATTCCATCGTGCCCGTCTAGCTCTGCTGTCCACGTAAGTTCACTTCTCTGTCTTAAACCAGGAGTCCAAGACTGAGTTCTTTAAGTCACAGTTCATTCTCTGGGCTGAGGTGGAAGAACTTGGACTGTAAGTTCAAACTGAGGTCCCTTGGTTTTTCCAGCTGAAGGAATGCAGGACAATTGCAGAATCAGTGATGATAGGATGTGGATTGAACAGATGCATGGGGAGGAGGAGGAGGTCGTGAGAAGAGCCAGTGGTCCTCACGCCCACACTCAGGGTCAGGGTCAAGGTCAGGGTTAGGGTTAAGGTTAAGGTCAGGGTCAGGGTTAAGGTTAGGGTCAGGGTTAGGGTTAAGGTTAGGGTTAGGGTTAAGGTCAGGGTTAAGGTTAGGGTCAGGGTTAGGGTTAAGGTCAGGGTTAAGGTTAGGGTCAGGGTTAAGGTTAAGGTTAGGGTCAGGGTCAGGGTTAGGCCCACATTAATCCTGGTCACACCAGAGCCACACCCATCCTCACTGGGAGAGGAGCAGGCCGTGAAATTGTTCTACTCACCTCTTTGCTGAGTTTGTGGCAAAAGAAGAATGGAACTCAGATCCTGCTCATAAAATAAGGAGATTTTAATTAGCTATCTGGACAGATATGTTTCAGCAATTTTTAAATAAGCACTTACGGGAATTTGGATTTTCACAATGATTTTTGGAATGCACGTACCCTGTTACTGAAATATATTAGCACGTTAAATGTGCTAAAATATTCCTTCCAGCTGTGAAATATGATTGCTTTATTGATGGCTGGACTCAAGACTATTTTTAAAGAATGAATTGCCACAAGAATAGTTTTTTTTTAATGTAACATGATTATTGTTGCTGTTTTCCTGCTTCAATGTAATAAATAGAATTCCATTCCCATCATTATCAGCATTAAGGAAAATAAAGCTCACGACAGTCTGTTTGAGTTCCAATGAGAATTTGTCAAAACAAGAAAGCTAGGCTGGCTATTCCAGAAGCATAGAGCATCTTCCTTGCTTCCCAGTGGAGGACTGCAGTGTCTTGTGGGAAATGTAGTCTCAAGCTGCCATGACATCAGCGTTGTGGGACTCTGGGAAAGCTTTTCTGTGATCCTTCTGAGCATGTGCCACTCTTCCCACCCGCACCATCTTTCTAGAAATTCCAGCCCCTGTGCCTTTGCTAGTGCGATGGATGCCCCCGTGTGGCAGGAGCAGGAACTTCAGTAGGGCTCAATCCCGGGACCTGCCATGCAGCTGGCCTGGTTCACATAACAACAGGTCATGTCAGATCTACGGGTCTGGGCTGGGTGACTTGGGCTGTGCCTTCATGGACTGCTTTGTAAGTGGTCCACTGTCACAGGCACCTGTGCGCCTCGCGTGGCTGAAATCTAGTCCCAGTGGTTCTGTACAGAATGATAGTGCTGGGGTAAGGTTGGGGATGCAGACCTCGCGAGCTGTGACGTGTGTGATCTGAATCACTCTGGCTCTACCAGGATGTCCACCCCGATCAGCATTTTCACAACACCAGTGAAATATTGAAAGTCGGGGATTTCATGTTGTCCCCCGTGCATGCCCCTCTCCGCCTCGCGCTGTGTTGCCCGTCTAGCACTCCTGATTTGACTTTGCAGGAGTTTGTACAAGACTGTTTGTAATAATAAGTAGTTCAACAAGGCAGATTTGGGTACTGAATAGAAGTCCTAGTTCTTCCGGGATAAAGTTTTTTGTTTTGTTTTATGAACAGGATTCATGAATAAGGACTCTACCTGAAGGAGTACCTCCGACCAGCACCCTCTCCCTAGTGCATCAGAGTGGAGATGGAGGCGTCCCTGGAGCGTGGCGATCCTTGCTGTGGTAGGCTCATATACTTACTGATTTCTCTTGCCCGGAGTGAACAAGATCTGTTCTCATACTACCTTCTCTCACCCATAAGCTGCTAAATGTCAGATGATGTTGGGAGGTGTGGACCCGTCAGATGTGAATGGGTTGAGATAGACAGGCAGCGGTCCAGGAAATACTGCCTTTCATCTGCAGCGAGGGGCCAGCCCTTCTGCCCTCATTGGAACGGGAGCTCTTCCCAATGCAGTCTGTCATCACATTTGGTTATCTGCAGATCATGCCAGTGCTTCCTGCATCTCAGTGGTTCTTATTAAAGGCACAGGCAGGATTTGTTAGGGTCTCTTGCTGATAACAAAGATGAAACAAATTGTGCTTCAGGAGTTAAGTGAGTTGACCAGGGACACATCAATTTCAGAAACACTGTTCTAGAAGGCTCTTCTTAGCATTCTTTTATTTCCCCCCAATTCATTTGCTGTGAATTGTGTGAGCTCAGAATGTTTTTCATACAAGTCTTACACTTTATGTCAGTAATCTGTTCTTGGAAATCAAACACGTTGTAAAGAGTGCACAAAACTACAATCAATTATTGTGAGTCTGTTTTCCTTTTTTTTTTTTAAAAAAAAAATACTGAATTTTGCTGCTAGTTTCTTGAGCTATAAATTACAATTATACGTTATAGATAAAATGATAAAATGTAGTCTTAATATGTAGTGTGATTCACATGACTTCTCTAAATGCCAGCCATTTGCCACGATTCAAATATTTGGCATTTATTGCGTTTATAAGCACTTAGATATGTGAATGTGAAGTTGTGTGGCCGATATTTGGCCGTGATCCTGTGTAAGCTTTTCCAAGTGAGCTGAGCTCGACAGTTCCCATGCTGTTGCATTGCACGGGGTCCTAGATGCGTGCCCAGTCATCCGGCGTCTTTCCCGAGGCCGGCTCCTTCCAGCTGGTCTCACTCCCATGTCTCGTGGTTTCTGCCTCCGTGGGAAGGCCCAGACTTTTGCCCAAGATGAAAGCATTTCAAGAAGGCTAGCTCTCATAGGTAGATATTTTCCAAAACGATTTGTAACACTGGTGTCCTACTGGCTAAAGCAGTTGAACTGGCCAAGTCAAGGGTTGTTGTGGAAAGGGGCCACAGGAAGGCGGACACAGCCAAGTGTCATTTGGAACCATGTACCGCAAACAAGTACTACAAGAGCTGCCTGTGTAGTTCTTCCAGATACAAATACGTACTTCGTTATGAAATTGAAGGTTTTTTTAAAAAACATCTCCGTTACCAGGAAATTAATACCACCCGAGTGTTTCTCTACAGTGTAAAGCTTAATGACACACATTTTCATTTGCAGAGATGTGTTGGTGTTTGAGTTATCCAGCTACCTTCCCTAGGGTAAGTGTGATGACTGCTGTTGTGGCAAACGCCCTGGTTTGCATGCTTAAAGAGGATACCAGTTTTTAAGATGTGTTCTCCCGATGTGTACACATACAATGTGACATATTTGGAGTAATATTACTTTTATGCAATATCAGTGGCAAATAAGTCGTCACGAAGTTAGTGGTAATTATATTCCATCTCTAGAGTTAACTTTCACAGAATTCTTTCCAGATCATTCTTGTATCTCTAGGCCTATTTCCCCACAGAATATTTTTGATTTTTCTAGCTGATGTGTTCAATTTCTTGTTTGCTTCTGAAATGATGCTTTACACGGTAAAATCTGGGAACAAACCAGCTTGTTTCTCTTGATTTCCTCCATTTACCTTCTCTTCCAGGTGTAATTCTACAGTCTTCTCTTTGTTTCCCGGGGCAAAGAAAATGACTACATCTCTAGTAAGTTATTTGCTTATTTAATTCTCAGCTGCTTTTATTTTGTATTTCTAAAGAATTATTTAGGCAGTTGGAGGGAAGAGAAACATCTTCCATCCTCTGCAGCACTCCTTAAAAGCTCAGAATATCTGTGCTTGAATGAAACCCAATTCAGAAGCCGGAAACTCCACCCAGATGTTCCCCATGGAAGGCAGGGACCCCGGTCCTTGGCCATCTTCCACTGCCTGCCCGTGAACTGTGGAACTGTGACTGGCATTCTGCTGTGGCCTGCTGCAATCTCAAGCAGCGGCGTAACCTGCTCTACCACAATGACTGTTGTATTTCAGGGGCTTTACGAGAGTTCATTCATTAAAACCAAAAGGTAAAATTAGGTCCCGGCATGATAGCTCAACTGGTTCATCCTCCACCTGCAAACACCAGGATCCCATATGGGCATCGGTTCTAATCCCGGCAGCTCCACTTCCCATCCAGCTCCCTGCCTGTGGCCTGGGAAAGCAGTGAGGACGGCCCAGAGCCGTAGTGTACCTCTTTGTGCACTGGCACTTGGCTGCTGTATCCTTCCATTTGTCTCTTCCCCACTTGCAGCACTCTGCTTGTCATTCATTTTACTCCATTTTATACATGCTTTTAAAAAGATTCATTTATTATTTTATTGGAAAGTCAGATTTTACAGTGAGAAGAGACAAAAATCTTCCATCTGCTGTTTTACTCCCCCATGTGGCCGCAGTTGCTGGAGCTGAACCCTTGGAGCTGGATCAGAATTGGAGCATTGGATTGACTTGGTAGCCTAGCAACTAAAGTTCTTACTTTGAACACGCTGGGATTCCATAGGGGCACTGGTTCTAATCCTGGTGGCTCCTCTTACCATCCAGCTCCCTGTTTATGGCCTGGAAAGCAGTCAAAGATGGCCCAACACCTTGGGACTCTGCACCCACTGTAGGAGACCTGGAGAAGACGCTCCTGCATGATGGCCTTATGTTATTTTCATCATCTATTTATTGACTCATCCTATTTGAAATAATTTTCAGTAGATTCTTTTTTGTAGTGTAAATGATCAATGGATTACAGTGTAACCTAAACCTTATATAAGGCAAATTCAAAGGAATGAAATGGTGGCCTTGCTGACCTAGAATTGACATGCTGAGTGGAAATGTGCTGCTGCAGGTGCTGGTGTCCTTTGAAGATGTGTCTGTGACCTTCACCTGGGAAGAATGGCAGGACCTGGACGATGCCCAAAGAACTATGTACAAAGATGTGATGCTGGAGACCTACAGCAACCTGCTCTCCTTGGGTGAGGCAAACTCCCTGGGCACTCCCACACAGAACACTTTCTGTTGTTTTAATAATTGAATGCTTCTTAAGGTTTAAATGCTGTTTAGGTCTAGGATTCCAATACGTGAAGATTGTGTACACTCTAAAAAGATCACATTGGCCCGTGCATTGCACAGCTCCTGTACCAAATTATCAATATTGGGTTAAATGGTATATGGTTTCTTCTTAACAGGATACTGCATTGTCAAACCTGAAGTGATTGTCAAGTTGGAGCGAGGAAGAGAGCCATGGGTAGCGAAAAGTCCCCGAAGGCTGAGCTTGCCAGGTCAGTCCATGCTCCTGGGGCAGAGTAGCTGGAACAGGGAAAGCTGAGCACATGGGTTGTATTGTAGGAGGTGATTTTGTTTGTATCATTGTTTTGGCCTGTTTCCACCCACGTTCTCCTGTGTCCTAACCCTGAGGACAGCCACTTTCAAGCATCATGCATATATTTCCCAAGTTCCAGGGAAAGCTCATGCTTATGTATCGATCTGCCTTACTTTTTTTTAATATTGATTAAACTTTTTTAGCCTTATTGAAGTCCGATCTCCACCTGGCTCTTAGATATATATATATATTTTTTTAGCTATGTTCTATACATTCTAGTTTGTGCTTTTTTCCATTTGCTTACTGCGTTGCTATAGTAATACTTTCATATATTTCATGTTTCAATGCTTGGAAATGGAGCAGCTCCTAGATTAACACAAAATTTAAAAATACATATTGATTCTTGTGATATAATACCCAAAAGCAATATTTTTCCATCTTGAGAAGAAAATCAGGAATTATGTTCCTTTAAAAAAGGAACACAGTCATTTAAATTTTTTTTATTTGAGAAGCAGAAAGAGAGAAGGAATGCCTATGTACTGATTCATTTCCCAGATAGCTACGGGCGACTTAGGGGGAAGACCTAATGTCAGTTCGTTTCTACCACGTGGTTAGGAAATGAGCTGTTTGGATTATCATTGCTCCATATGGAATCAGGGATGTGAGCCACTGATTGACCAGGTACTCCAGCATGAGATGTGGGCATCCTAACTGGCATCGTAGTTTCTAGTCTAAATGCCTGCCCTGGAAGGAACTTTTAGAAAGTGACTATTTATTTACTTTTAGTTCATTCTTGAAATGGTAAGTTTCCAGATTTTTCATATAAATTGCAGATGGATATAAAATCTAACATGGATATTGTATATCATGATTGGAAACACTGATTGGCAAATAAGCTTAAACCTAGTGTTTATTATTTTGTTGAGATGACCTAGGCAATTGGTAGGAAAATGAGAAAAGTGATTTAGGAGCAAGTCTTGTATAAATCATGAGGTTGAAGAGACACAGTGTAAAAACATGGATAAAGGTGGTTCTACACTTGCACATACAACAGGCAGTTCTGGGCCACAAGGTCAGATGAATCAATGATTTTATTTTGAAGGACCTGTATTTATTTGGAGGTAAAGTTTGAAGTTACCACTCTCCCTTTCTCTTTTCAAAATGAGGTGAAAACAACCAAGAGGTAAGATACGTGCAGGAGATTTCAGCTTTTGTGGAAGCATGTTCTGGGCTGCAGAACCAAATCTTTTAAGAACAGTAAAGAAGGGAATATTCAGGGTGACAGATTGGAGCTTTCCAGTACTTGTCAGTTTTGAAAGCGGTAAATATCAGGTTACGTCAGTAAGCTGCCTTCACCTGGTATGAGACGTTGTGAGAACATGCATTTGTAATCCCACATGGATGCCTCTGGCCATCCTCTGAGAACAGTAAAAAAGTGAGCAAGCATTGCTACAAATCCTGTTCCTAAGAAGGAAATGCAAAAATGGTCTTAGGCAGACAAATGACTCTTTCCTACATGTCAGGTAGTTGATTCAAGACTAGGAACATATTCAATGCTGAAAGTTTACCCAAGGAAAAGTACAAACCACATTTACTATAAGAAAAGAGCTGAGAAGCACTCACATTAATATTGCAGCTAGCCAGCAGGCAACTATCGTTATTAAATATTTCCTCAATTTTTTAAAGGTGAGCAGTCTTGTCATGCCACAAGTTAAGCTGTTGGTTGTGTTGTCTGCTCTGATTCTGATTCAGCTCCCTGCTAATGCATGTTTGAAGGCAGTGGAAGATACCCCAAGGACTTCTTTCCTGTCCCCCTTGTGGGACAAGAACTCACAAGGAGTTCTTTCCTTCTGACAGTGGCCATGGGCTGGGTCCTACTACTGTACCTATTTGGGGTGAACAATTTCTCTCTCCCTTTCTCTGACACTTTGCCTTCCAAATAAATTGACTGAATCTTTAATAGGAAAAATTGTAAGGGATTTTTAAAAAGCATTATGACTTTACATTGGGAAAATCTGTCAAAGTTAAATTGCATTAATAATAAAACTATTATTAACAGTATAATTTTATATTAATTCAATAAGTGGAGAAAACAGAGTTTTAATGCATAACTTTTAGTGATATTTTAAGCTCTATGCCAATAGCTTAGGATTAAAGCTTATTTCTGGTGATATTCTAGAAGTCATGTTTAGATGTGGTTCATAGATATGATTGCTTCTTCCTCATTTCAGCTGTCCAGAAAATGGATGACCAAATTGATGCTAGCCAGAAAAGTCCAAACAGATACTCATCACAAGTTGAAGCCGCAAACAACAACACATCCATTAAGGAGAGAGTTGAATCTAAGTGCGAGGAAGATGGGAAAGCTGGTGGAAGATCAGCTGTCCTCATTGAAGAGACAACTGTTACAGGAAAGAGAACTCTACAGAAAAAGTCTGCCCTCAAGGAGCATCAAGAAGCGCACACTGAAGGAACAGACTCTGAATGTACTGAATATAAAGAAATGTTGATTAGTAAGTCAGAGCTTGGGATGAGTGAGAGGACACAGGCAGGGGCAGTGTCTTATGCGTGTAACCTGCATGAAAAATCTTTTAGCTATAAACCTAAACTTGCTCTCCATCATAAAACTCACACAGGGGGAAAGCCCCATGAATGCAATAAATGTGGAAAAACCTCTTGCCAGAAATCGTGTCCCAGCGTGCCTCAGGTAACTGACAAATGGGAAAGATCCTGTGAATATAATGGGCAACCCTGTGGGTTGTCACACCTCAGCAGTCGTCAAAGAGCTCATACACAAGAAAAACCCTTTAAATGTACTGAATGTGGGAAAATCTTTAGCCAGAAGTCAGTACTTAGTGTACATCAGAGAATTCACACGGGGGAGAAACCCTTTGAATGTACTGAATGTGGGAAGACATTCGGCCAGAAGTCACATCTTAGTGTGCACCAGAGAACGCACACAGGAGAAAAGCCATTTGAATGCAACGAATGTGGAAAAACATTTGCCCAAAAGTCAGTCCTGACTGTACATCAGAGAACTCACACCGGGGAAAAGCCCTATGCGTGTAATCAATGTGGCAAGACTTTTTGCCAGAAATCAGTCCTCACGATCCATCTCAGAACCCACACGGGTGAGAAACCATACGAATGTTACGAATGTGGGAAGACCTTCTGCCGGAAGTCAAAACTCAGCATGCACCAGAGAATCCACACAGGGGAAAAGCCCTTTGTATGTAATCAATGTGGGAAGACCTTCTACCATAAGTCCGTTCTCAGCATGCATCAGAGAACTCACAAAAGGGAGAAGCCTTATGAATGTAGTGAGTGTGGGAAAACTTTTTACCAGAAGTCAGATCTTATGATACATCGGAGAATTCACACAGGGGAAAAACCTTATGAATGTAAGGCATGTGGAAAGATTTTTTGCCAGAAGTCACACCTCATCAAGCACCAGAGAATCCACACAGGGGAAAGACCCTTTGAATGTAATGAGTGTGCGAAAACCTTCTCTCGGAAGTCCAGTCTCAGAATGCATCAGAGAACTCACACAGGGGAAAAACCATATAAGTGCGTCGAGTGTAGGAAAACCTTCTCCCATAAGTCAGGCCTCACTATACATCAGAGAACTCACACAGGAGAAAAACCCTATGAATGTCCCGAATGTGGGAAAACCTTTTGTCGTAAATCATTCCTTAACACGCATCAGAGAACTCATACAGGAGAAAAGCCCTATCAGTGCAATGATTGTGGAAAAACCTTTGGTCAGAAATCACACCTCAGGACACACCAGAGAACCCATACGGGTGAGAAACCTTATGGATGTACTGAGTGTGGAAGAACTTTCGGCCAGAAGTCACACCTCCGAACACATCAAAGGACTCATGCATATGAATATCAATAATGTGAGACAGCTTACTGCAACATGCCCTACCTCATACAACCCACACAGGAAAGACCCAATGAATGTGAAAAAACGTTTTGTGCTAAGTCAGTGTCCAACATAACAGACACACTGTGAATGCAATGAACATGGGAAACCTCAATGGCCATCAATGAAATCACACAGACGGGATACCCTACAAGTGTAATTATGTAGAGAAACTCTCCAGAAGTCACTTGTGTAGTTATGAGAGAACACATACAAAGGAATAACCCTGTGTGACAGACACAGCTATGATTTCAATTGCATTCTGTGTCTCTTGCACATGCAGTCCTCATTTTGAGCCTCCCTGTGTTGTTGGCAGGATGATTAACTAAGTTGTTATTTTACATATGAACTTGAGAATAAAGATTAAGCATAGTAGAATCACTTTTTTGAAACACCAGTTTTGCTGTTAGCAATTGATATGTTTTTGTCTGCCGTAATACAGGTCAGCAGGATAACGGTGTCCACAAAACAGTCACATGACATTCCGGCCATAATGCTGTGCAGCCAGCCCTATACAATGAGTGTTTTGTCTAGGGCAGGGAGTAAGTGTGCTTGACTTCTGTACCAATGGTAATCTCGTATTTGTATACAGGCATGAACCAACCCAAACCATCAGAAATCTGTTGGTAGGTTCAAGAGAGGCTGTGAGCAGAGTGATCTGGAGGCTTAAAGTCCTAATACTTTACCTTTGTTGTGCCATGTTTCTTTCTTTTTTCCTTTCTTTCCTGCTTCCTTCCTCCCTTTCTTGCTTTTGTGTTGCTATTCTCTGTTACAGTGAGAATTTCTCTATCCATTTCCTCTAGAAATGAGTATTGACATTACTGAATTTATCTCGTATTTCATCGAACTGTTGGCAGATAACTATATAAATGTGATATCAGTCTCTATGTAGTTTTATGTTCTTAATATATCTTGTTTCATTATTATCCCTTGTGTTGATCCTTAGAATTTTGGGAAATCTGTGTTAGCTTGTATCCACATGTATGAAGCCCTCTGTGACTTATTGTAATTTCTGTGAACCTAGTTCATAGCATATACACACTTGGAATCTACCCTTCATGTTCGCATGATAATGCCTAGAAGATCAACAAATGCATTTATATACACTGTAGTTACAGTTGTAGCTATGGTAACAGGTGATATCTGGAAATGATACCAGACAGCTTGGCATGTAGAGACGAATTTTCTCAGGCCTTACCATTCCGTACAGTTTGCAAGCCTGGCCTCTTTCCCACAGCAGAGCAGTTTCAGCACCTAGGAAGCCAACCTCATGCAGGGAATACCAGCTAGGTGAGTAGGGCTTACTCTGCTGCTTGCTTTGATGTGTGTAACTGCTTATGGTGCCATGCTGGGGATATGAGCCCCTTGCTCTGTCTTCTACCCACCCTCTATGCAGCTTCTCTCTGGCACCTTGTATGGCTGCACACAGGACCGCCATGCAAGAGTTCAGTAGCACTGTTCTTCTCTCTAATCTCTGTCATACATAATCCTTTAAGCAACCATATGATACCAACAGACTCACTGCTTACTAGTGGGGGCATAGTCTCCATCCTGCATAATTCCTGATACAGACTGCCAAACAGCCCTAGTAGGAGGCAAGTGAAAGAGCAAGTCCATGGTGAAGAGAGGGTTGGCCCTTCCTCTGGATCAGAGAAAGGTCTGCTTGTGTTGCTGCTGAACATTGCTTTTCCAGAAGCATGGAAGTATCCAGAGTGTAGGGTCTTGGTGGACAGAAGGGTCAGTTCCTGTTGGCTTTCAAGGAATTACTAATAGCACAGTTTGCATCCTCCAGTGTACAATAAGCAATTAACTGTCAGAACACAGGAGTGCTCCTTAAGGCGCAGGGTCATCTCACTGTCATGTCTCTTGCTGGTGGACATGGGAAATTGCACCAAAAATTTTTTTTTTCACTACAGTATTTATTAGTTCACATATGTTCTGGGTTAGGTTTCCTCGATTTGTAATTTTTTAATAAATTCATATTAATGTTTTATACATGAAGTCCACTTTATTTGTGAAGATTGATGTATTTTTATTGGAAAGTCAGATTTACAAAGAGAAAGATCTTTTGTCTGATGACTCATTCTCCAAGTGGCCACAATGGCCAGAGCTGAGCCGATCCAAAGCCTGTAATGCTTTAGGAGGAACAGTTGCTCACCACCCCAGAGCTAGAATCCAGGACCATTGTTACCAGCAAGGACGGCACACCATCAGGGAGCTGGAGTAGAAGAGTAACCGCCAGAACTTGAAGCAGTGCCCATGTGGGAAGCCAGTGTCAGGCAGCAGCCTAACCCTCTATTTCACAACGCTAGTGCCTAAGATGTATCTGACATGATAGGTTCACTATAAGTCCTGCCTCCAAAAGCTAATTCTTGACCTTCTCCCACCAGCAAGCTAGAGGCAACAATTGTTTTACACATCTTGGCTGTCTCAGAAACAGGACCAAGAAGATCGGGGGTTCCTGCCTCCGTCCCTGCCCCTGCCCAGCAGCAGGCTGAGGGGGTCCAGCAGAAGCTGAAGCACGTATTTAGCCAGCACAGTGGTCAGAACAGCCACAAGGAGGGCTTTAAGTCACATCTGGAACGGGTCTGTGAAAAATGGAAAACAGCACATTAGGCACAGGGACAGGATCCCAGCCTGTGCACAAGGAACTGTACAAGTCACAAGTCCAAAGAGACCACCACCCCAGCCGTGCTCAGGCACCCTGCAGCAGCCCTCACACGAGAGATGCGCACTTTAGAGATGGCAGCAGGTGTTGCTGGCTTGGCAAACGGAGGGCTTGCCCAGGTATGGCTTGGCAAGGGAAGAGTGGTTTCTGAGGGTTGGGGCTCTAAACCATCAATTTCCCCACCTGACACACAAACAGGAACATTTCTTTAGAGAAGCTAGCTTGTGACCTGTACGTCTGTGCAGCCAAATAGGAGATGGATCGTATTTTACAAACCTGCACAGTCCAGACGTGCATGATGGGCACAGCATCCCATCAGTGGCCAGAAACTTCAGTGAGCTGAGACGTATATGCCCTCACCAAAACAGATCTGCCTTCTTTGTGAGGCTGCAATTTGCCCAAGATTTCTTTGCACATGGAAATTACAAGTTCATCACATGCAGTCTTGCACTATTGAAGTGCTCTCTCTCTCTGCTCCTCAATCTGTTCTAAATTAGAGTTGAAAAGTAACGTATGTCTTCATCTGCTGTCTGTGTTTGTGATGCAAATACATTCATAAATCGGCCCAGCGCAGTGGCCTAGCAGCTAAACTCCTCACTTTGAATGCCCCGGGATCCCATGTGGGTGCCAGTTCTAATCCCGGCAGCTCCACTTCCCATCCAGCTCCCTGCTTGGGGCCTGGGGAAGCAGTGCAGACCGGCCCAAAGCCTTGGGACCCTGCACCCGAATGGGAGACCTGGAGGAAGTTCCTGGCTCCTGGCTTTGGATCAGAGCAGCTGCGGCCATTGTGGTCACTTGGGGAGTGAATCATCGGATGGAAGATCTTCCTCTCTGTCTTTCCTCCTTTCTGTATATATGACTTTGCAATAAAAAACAAATAAATCTTAAAACAACAACAACAACTGCTTAACGATACCTTCAGAACATTCTTTTCTATAGTGGGGCTGCTAAGACATCAAGTGGATATCACCTGTCCAGATGGGAGCACTCCACCTCACCCCTCCTTCAGATACTAGAGAAAAGGAAAGAAAAGGAGAATTGGAAGCATTTGTCTTGTTCACCTTCCCCAGTGGCTCGACCCTCCCCTCCCCACTCTCATCAGTGGTCCTCACTGGCATGCATCCTTGTTAGCCACATAAACATCAAAAGAAAAAAAAAATTAAAAAAAACAAATTACCAGACTAGTAAATGAACTGTCTTCCAGAAGTGGAAGAAATGGCAATCATGCAGAGATGCTGAATTGATGACAACAGTGTACTGATTTGTGTCCTTTTTGTCCATGGCAAGTATAGAAACAGCAGAGTTGGATGTTACAGGCAGGCAAGAGGAAGAGTTTGGGATGGGCTGATTGCAATGGAACTATGTAGGCATATGGTTAAATATGGGAAATACCATATTCCTTGGAGAGATTATTGAAACAAAAAGTGTGCTGTTTGGACACCGAGAGGCTGACGTGCTCTGAGAGCCGTAGTAACATGAAGCGCTGATGTACCGGGGCATAGGCTTGAAGGACACAGGGCTGAATGTCAAACTCAGTGTTTCACAATGAGGAGGTGTTCCCTGTGACAGATTCTTAGATGTGAAAGAAAATGAACTTGAACAGAAGGACTCTGAAGGGACAGACAGAGGCCGCATTATTGGATGATGTACACCTGTGGATGTGGGGCCCTCCAAATACTTCTCTCCCAAGAACCAGCACATCTCCTTCCGCTCCTGGTCCCCACAGAATGAGCATTTCCCCCAGGACTGTAAGCTCCAGTCAGTGACATCACCCTGGACAGGAAGGCAGAGATGGGCAGTGGGTGACACAGAGAAGGAAAATGGCAGCACACATTAGGGTTTTCTAGTAAGTTTCACTAGGCATTTCCTCACATTCTGGATGCATCACCTCCTTCGTTCTCTAAGTGACTTACTCCACTCTCAGTGTCTGTCCAGGCTGGCTCTCTCAGAAAGCCTCATTTCCAGTACAGTGTCTAACTCAGGCTTGGGTAAAATATATCATGTTTTGGTCCACAGTAATTGGGAACAGGCTCATCACTCAACTGAGGACAACAGAAATGGGGACCCTGAGGAGGCACTGCAAGAGACACCCCACGTGAAGGGTGGAAGAGACAGACTATCAAACCTTGGGGAGGTTATAATGTTGTTAACTGAAAACAACAGTGATTTTTACATAAATGCTACTAATAATCACAGCAGTAATACTCCTAGGAGCCTTAGCAGGGAAAAACAAACAAAAACTTCAAATGTACTATTAACAGGACCAAAGATAATAGTAATTTACACGACAAAACACCACAGCAATGAATGGACTGGACTGCTGCTTGCAACAACCCAGATAAACTTCACAAGCAGAATGCTGAACGCAGAAACTAGACATAAAGCGGCAATATCATAACATGCCACTGGACAATAACGAC